TCATTGAGTAAATAAGCCAATTCCTATTTGCTTCATGACTGAAGCAAATCTCCAATTTGACAACAACACTTTTTCTGTTGTGTATTGCACTTGCTCTATGAATGCATCTCTATCCATTTTTTTTGAAAGGGCATCTCTATCCGATGTTAACTATTATTAGTTACACGATTTTCAATTTTAATGATCATCTACCTATCGTTGAGTGAATGAGTTCACTCAGTATTCAATACTCTCAGGTTATAATATGTCATATATATCAAAAGTGGTCTTCTAGATTCTTAGTGTCCAGGAAGAATTCCTTTCTCCATACATTAAATGTCAATAATTGGCATCCCATAATTCCCATTAAACTATTATTCTGTATCATCCGGTACTTACTACCTTTGCCTATATGTTGGACAATTAAGTTTAATACATATTCCCTTTCATATTTCAATTTCAATTTTACCAATATAATAACATCACTACTCTCTTACTGTCTTACGTACTCATTTGATATTCTTTCTTTAATGGATGTCTGAAGTCAGCCTTACCTTTTGCAGTTAGGATATACCAAAAAGCAGGATGACAGACACTTCCGTGGCATCATCAATTTGGAGGTTGGAACATGAAATCATAGCTTGAGATCCAATGCTACAGACTTGATATTATCTCTTAATTATTTTTTAATACTTGTCTTAAATAGTTGAATATATCATCTTTTTGTTCATCAAGTATTAAGGTTTAATCCCTGCTTTTAGGTGGTTGTATTCTAATATTTGTCAAGATTTCTTACTGTGTTGGATGGTAATCAAATTTGAGTTAGTTATGTTATCTTCAGCTACAGCTGCGTAAACATGAGATAAGAAACATTGGTGTATATGAAGTTTTATTTCCTCCATTATGATGTAGTTAGTTAAAAGTGCAAAGAAAATGTATGTATACATAAGTTCGTTTTCAACGTTGATACGAGACATAACTCTTATGTGATTGTAATGTCTCTTTCTTAAATACTTGAGAGTGCACATGTTGGTGTTTTGAATATTTATTCATTTATTCTGTTGAAAATTCCAGGAATGTAATCTTGAAGACATGTCTGACGAAGAGGAATCCTCCTCCTCTAAAAGTTCCAAGGACAAAAAGGAATATTCAAATCTAACTTTCAAAATTACTAGCCGGATTCAATACAAGACCGTTCTTAAAGGTAGCAATATTTCACAGGGTTACTTAAATTTTCTCTTGCTTTCCCACTTGAGTACAAATCTCATGTTATTAAATGCTTGATCAAATTCCCAAACAAGCCTCATGAAGAAGAATTTATAAATCTCAATTCCAGAGTTTCCATACTGGCCTACTTAGACTCTGAGTTTGCTATTGCAGCACATAGCTTTGTGATTTTAAAGGCAGATACTATGGCAGAAAAGTCTGAATGGATTCATAAGTTGAAAAATGTTATAAGGTCTAAAGGAGGTCAAGTGAGGGCAGAAACTGGTGTTCCCATGCGACAAAGTTTTTCAGAGGGTTCAATTGTAAGTTGTAAAAGCAGAATGTCTTGTCATAAGTTATTCATTTTTGGGTCCTCTAGCAGTTTCTTGTTTAACAACTCTTGGAGTAATGATTTTCTTTTATTTTTTGATCCTTTAGGGTGTTTAATCGGGGATTCAGATAGTACCAAAAGGGGACGGGATATTTAAATTTTGATTTGTTCTTACATGAAGATGGCTATAAATGAAGTGAAGATGAAATATTATACAGAAATGAATCATTTAACTAAACATAGATTCCATATTTTCTTGTCTAAGACCAGCAAATAGAGACAAATTAGTAAAATCCCTGACCAATTAAAAGTGTTTCTAACTTTACAGTGAACAGTTGATTAGTATGACTTTTGTCTACCCAAGACTTAACTTAGCATGTTGGATTATGATAGGATACAATGGCTAGGAAACCTCTAGATCCAGAAGAAGAGCTTCGTTGGATGTCTCAGGAAGTACGTGGATATGTTGAAGCCGTTCTTAACAGCCTTGCAGCCAATGTTCCTAAAGTCGGTTTTACTTGCATAGTAGCAACATTAATTATTTGTTAATCCTTTTACTTCTATACTTGTTGTGTAAATGCTCTGGTCTGTTCTTTATATGATTTGCAGGCTGTTGTTCTTTGTCAAGTTGAAAAGGCAAGAGAAGACATGCTTAACAAGTTGTACATTTCTATCAGGTTAGTATTTGCATCACTTTCTTCTAGCACGATGTTTGCAAATCACGTTTAGGTAAAGGTAAATTTAGGTCAAAGTGCTGGAGAGGCTGAAACGATTAAATTGCTGAACTATTTTAGAAAATAAAAAACAAAGGGAAAATCCATATGAAATCATTTAAGCCGACTCATGCCCTATCTTTTTATATTATCAAGTGGGACATAAGTTGTCTTGAAAACATTTTACATGAAAATCTGGCCATTGGATTTGTCTTTGTTTTACATGTGAAAACTATCTTTTATTTTAGAGTTGTTTCATTTCTGTGCTTTGTGATATCATCTTCATTGTCCGAATTGTGTTTATCAACGAATTGGAATGGGCAGTGGACAAAGTCTGTCAAGGATTGAAGAGCTGCTGATGGAAGACCAAAATGTAAAGCACAAGCGGGAAGGATGCCAGAAAAAATCCTCTCTTCTTTCTGAGATTATTAGAAAACTAACTACACTGGACAATCGGACAAGTGCTTCAACCTTCTCCGAGTATGATGGATCTGGTATCTATATCCCTCCACTTCAACATATCTATCATATTCTTGTATTTGTTTCGTATTGGTCTCCAAGCATGGCATTTTGGTGACCGACATACTATAACAGTATAACCCTTATCATACTGCATGCCATTTGTTGGTTCAGAAAAGTTCAAACGGACTCACTCACCCCAACGCATTTCATGCATCTGATTTGTGCAGTAAAACATGTCTCTTTGACAAAAAAAGCATGCCATTTTCTTTACATTCATTTGACTGTTTAATCAAATACGTCATTGTTAGATTGTTTATAACATTTTCACCAATCATATATTTTTATCTTTATATGACTATTCATATTCACATGTACTTTTCCCGAACTTTCACACAGAACGACCCATTGATTCATCACCTGATGAGTGGACATATAGTGATTCTGGTGATTCAACCTCCAGAGGACGGCCAGCACCTACTCGACTGCCACCTGCGCCACCAGACACTGCATCCACCTTTAAGTACTAGAAGAAGACTAGAGATCAGAGTATACATTTATAACAAGTAACAACAGGTGCAGAATATGACCGTAGTTTTTTTTATGTTCATTCCTGCTATTGTTCTTGAACTTTCTAAATTTGTGTTCTTATTGGTCTTCGCACCAATGCATAGATCTGAACATATCCAATAATTAAAAGATCTGAACGTGTTTAGGCTTTAAAAATAGATATAACTTGAAAGAACTCCTTAGTATAGAGGTCAACTTTACTACTACGTACGATACATTTTGTAAATTCCATATGCCCTTTTGGCTTCTCGAAGTTTGAAGAAGTTTGTACTCGTAACATCATGGAACAGTTTTTAGTTATGGTAGAACACACCGGAAAGGACGATGAGGATATATTATGTGTACATGAGTGAGTACATATTGTGAGATCGTGGAATAATAACTGAACGAAGTTTGAATAATAGAGTCACTTTCCAGTACGAGTATAAGATGATAAATCTGACCTGATTGGTCTTTGTAGTACACGTACTAGATTCTCATTTTATTTACTTTGTTTAGCTATTCACTATGTCTCTAGGACTCTAGGTAGTTTGCACATCGCCCAACACCTTAATGTTGTTATGATACAGAAATCTGGGGAGACATAAACATCAAAATGGGACATTATTAACCCACATTCTTATGCGATGCATATAATCTAAACCTTTCAAGTTTGTAATTAAAGTCGAAATAGTAATCATATAATCTTTACCTTATTAGTTTTACCTTGATTTTTTTTTATATTTATAAGTTTGTTGATTACCGTTGAATCAATGAATGAAAGAATAGTGATTTTAACCCTTTCGTGTTTATTCAGATGTCCACAGCATCTTAGTGAATGACACGGAGTATGACTCATTGAAATAGAAATCATATTATCTAAACCTTGTACTACGTAAGTTTTACCTTGAATATTTCATATTAATAAGTTTGTTGACAATTTCTCCCTAAATTTGGTTAAGTTTGTGTGACTCTAAATTATTTTTACTTTATTTTTTATCAATTTTATGTCAATCACATAAACTCATTTTTCTTAATAACCGCGTCATCCTCTCATGTCCAAATGTTAGTGGAACGGAGGTAATATAAGTTATCGTTCCTATTTTTTGTAATAATAATTAGCATTCTTAAATAATAACTTTATAATTGATTATTAAAAACAATACACCTATAATATCACAATTATTGTCAATGACTTTATCTTATATTATATACTCGTAGTCATGAAAATTACTTCTCAAAGTATTGTCTAAATAATCATGTCATTTTTTTAAATCTAAATAATCATATTTTTTTGTGTTGTTGATCCTTCTTGTTTAGTTTGTAGTGCCACATTTCACCTTTTTTTTAAAGAATCTTAGCTTATTGTGCAAGCATAATTAAAAATTATTCATGTCAATTGAAATAAATGGGACAATCTGCACGAAGTGGTTGTGAGGTGAGATGCCAAATTTTTTAGCATACTCGAAAAATATGAATTAATAAGCTACAATAAAAATATTTTGAATTCCTGTTAGATTGACTTTTTAGGATGAAATTAATGAGTCCTAATATAACATGTTCTCATAACATGTTATCAGGGTAGGTTAATTCATGGTGTGGACGGTGGACCCCTTATCGATAATGAAAAATGAAGACCATTAAGATAAATCAATGAAAAAAGAATGACAGATTGACAGTAATGAAATATGTTTAATATTTCTCACATAAAAAAGATATGAATTAATAATTATTTAACTACAACAAAAACATCTTGAATACTCATAAGATGGACCTTTTATTTATGATGAAACTTCGAAACCATTACAATATACTAATTCGTATATCGATGATTGACCCCATTTTGTTTAATTTGTGGTGTCAAAATTTGACAGCAGAATGTATGTAGTAGCTTGATCCGGCTGAATGTCATTCTCTATAGCAATTCCAAGACGCAATTAGTAGTGATAATAAGCATACACTTGGCAGCCATCACAACAAAGAAAATAAAGATCAAACAGATTTTTTATTCAATGCGAAAGCACCAGACGACACATTCAACTCATAAAAACAAACCCCCATCCCACAGTGACAGGCATTACAAATTATATATCCCCCACTGTAATTCATAGTAGTAGACTAGTAGTAGTACTATTAGTAAGCAAATCCGAAAAAAAAAACAATACTAAAATCAAAATAAAATCTTAACATAATCCATCCTTAATTAAGACTTGCAAAAGTCTAAAACACCCCACCAACCAACCATCCCATTTCTTCACCTCACTCTTCGGCAGCCTTCTCAACTGAAACTTCATTGCTGGTGGCTGCTTCTTCCACAACCTCTTTGGCGGCTTCCTCAGCTACTGGAGCAGCCGGTGTTTCTTCTTCTGGCTTGGCTTCAGCCGCCGGAGCTTCTTCCTCTACGGCTACCGCCTCTTCTCCCTTAACTTCCTCAGCCGCTACTGGTTCCTCTGTTCTCTCCTTTATTACCTCTTCTGCTTTCTTTTTTGTATTCTCTTCTGTTTCTACTTCCTTGGTCTCAACCTCTTCCTCTGCTTTCGGCTGGGCTTCGGCTTCTGGTGTTGTTTCTTCAGTTGGCTTTTCAGCAACTGGCTCTGCCTCGGCGCTAGCCGGAGCCGCGGCTTCCTCTACCTTTGGTTCCTCTATTGTGGGGCTCACCTCGACCTCTGCTTTAATTTCTGCCAATGGTGCAGGGGCTGATTGAACCTACAAATTTACCATTTTACCATCGAAATAAGCATTAGATATCATAATTAAATAATCATAATATCGTTTTTTCCCTTGATCAAAATATACTACTACGTACATTGGTCCTTGATTATATAGTTATTCAAATATCCAATATCGTTTTAGGAATCATTAGTGATTGTGCAAATGAACGTACGTTGCTTACGTGACACGATACAAATTGCACCGAAATGTAAACACACAAAAATGTGAACCAAGGTATGTGAGCATATTCGAAAATTTGATGACTTAAAAGGTATAAACTATAAACTTGTAAGTCTAAGTTTTATGCCGAGAACAAGCAATCTATAAGTAGATATTTGAATTAAATTTGGGTTCTGGTATTTACAAAAAGCTATGGCTACTTTCAATTAATTAATATTCAAATTGTTCACTTTGGGTGTGTTTCAGCCAAAAAAAATGGCGGTTTGACCATTTTTAGCTTTTTTAACAAGTGAAAATGTTGTTTGGTAAATAGCTGTTCGACACCAGTTTTTTTTAAGGAAACGCTGAAATAAAAACGCAGCTAATAGGAGAGTTTTGGATTGACATTTTGAAAAATGACGTTTTCTACTAATTTTATGGTCAAACAGCTAAATTACCAAACATCTTTTGACAACCCACCAAGTTATTCCGTTAGTTAAACTCGCTGACCGAATCCGCTATTGACAACCCGCTAACCTACTATCTGCTAATCGTTGAATGTCAAACAAACTCTTTGTTTAAAGTTTTGACTTATGTATAAGCTCCGATAGTGGTTAAATTTATACCTTCTCACTTGATATGCGTATGTGTTTGGGATACAAGTACTCATATTTAAAAAATTACGGGGTATTACAAATAGTATCCAATACGAACATACAGAATATGAAAAATACAAAAACATGAAAATACAAAATCACACGAAAGGATGTGCTACATAATTCGTTTCAGTCGTAAAAGAAAATTATAATTCGATGCTTTTTCAAATGTATTTACAAGTACAAGGGGCTGCTTGCGAATGATGATACAAAAGAAATTGTTTCGGAAAATGGATTAATTTGTCTTGACGTGTGTATGGCCGGAAATATGGAAAAATTACAAAAATTGAAACTTTCTCATGTCTTGATAATTAGAATATGGCGCAAAAAACAATAGAGACCTTTGATTCATAAACTACATGGTTATAATTTTCATGTATGTAAAATTTTGGAAGATCATCATCAAATGATCATATAGCAGAGTAGGAGACTGAGTTGTGATCACCACCAAGTTTCAAGACATGACTTATATGAAGAAAAAAAATAGTAGGAATCCTGAGGGAATCATAGACTTATCAATCAAAGGAGGGATAAAACTAGGGAAGAATACCTCAACAGAAGCCATTTGATCAAGTGGAAGGTTTAAAGGAGAATAAAAGAGAAAAGAGTAATAGGAAAGCTAAGAAGGAAAAGGTGGCAAGTTTTGTGATTGTAAATATCCTAGCGTGATGAGAAGAAATGACCTGTGAGAGAGCTTTATATAGAGATTTAAAACCCACTTTACCAATTAAAAAAACTATTTTTTTTAAATCAATATGGAATTTGAGGGATAGATGGAATCATGGAATCAATTCATTAAAGAATGTATAGGTCATTAGGCAATTTGACAACTCACATCACAGGACGAAAAGTTGTACAGATCAGATTAAAGTAGTTGTCTAGTTGTATACTTGTATATGCTTTTACATATAAAAAAAATTGTTGGTATTGTTTATTTAGCTGTATTTATACACATAATTATTTTCATATTTGAAAAAAAGATTTTTTTGTAAAAAAATTAGGCAGATAGAAAAAATGACGTGAATTCTCTATACTACATATGCAATTTCTTTTTTATAAAATAAAGTATACTACGTATTAATTATCTCAAAAATTGGGTACATAAGAAGGCTATGATGTGTTGGACTTATTTTAGTCTTATAGAAGACCGGGTTTATGGCAAAATTAGGCACTTGATCAAAGTTAAACAGAGTAGATCACACCACACTACATTTGGATTAGGATTTCCGGGGTATAGTGTAAGGACCCATTTGATAACATGAAATTGACTGAATTGATTGATTCCGCTGAAATATATAAATTTAAGTTGAAGCAACCTTACTTAGAAACTGAAAATATAGGTTATCAAACGCGCTCTAATTTGGTTTTGTCTAGTATGTATTGAGGAACCTAGTCTTGTATCTACAAAAAAGGCATTAAATTTTCCATACCAGCTATATATTTAAGGATTTTTTATCTTTAATTTGTTAGTTCTTAATGGTATGGAAAATTTACACAATTAATTATCCTTCACTTAATTTAATGCCTTTTTTGTAGATAGCTAGTTGGGTTGTCAAAACGCTATTGTCTATAAGGAAAGATTGGCAATGGCACATGGTGGTGGTGGTCATTTTAGATATGTGCACTATCACAACTTTTTCATCTTCTTGCGTGGCCTCTTGTGAGTTTTGTGCAGTAGGGCATGTAGGTGACTGTCTATCATGTTTTCATGTTCTTGCATGCAATATTGTGAGTCCATTACTCCATTATTATTTAATTTAATTAAAAGCATGGGCAAGAATGCAAGATCTAAACCTTTTATAGCACATATATCCACTAATAAGAAAAGATGGAAACGTAGTATCTTCCATCAAACTAAATAATGAATTGATTGCAACCTTTTGGTGTAATTTGCTAGATTGATCCCAATCTAGGAATGAACATGACCCTAGTTAGGTTGGCTCTTCTGCCCAAATTGCACAACCGGCGGTTCCACAGCCTGAACCGGGATTATACTCATGGGCGGAGTTAGGGGTGGGCCAACCTAAGAATGTTTTCTTTTGGACTGAAATTTGCTAGTCTGGTCTGGTCTGTTTAAGTCTGGTCTGGTCTGGTCTGTTTAAGTCTGGTCTGGTCTGGTCTGGTCTGAACTGGTCTGGTAAACGTCTGGTCTCTGTGTATTTTATAACTACGGAAGTCAGGTCTGGTCTGGTCTGTTTAAGTCTGGTCTGGTCTGTTTAAGTCTGGTCTGGTCTGGTCTGGTCTGTTTAAGTCTGGTCTGGTCTGGTCTGGTCTGGGACTGAAAACAGTCCAAAAGAAAACATCCTAAGCCATGGCCCACCCCTAAATTTTAAAAATGGCTTAATTTTTAAGGTAATTTTTTTTGTAAATTCTATCTAAAAATATTAATTATTTGTACCGGCCCAATTTGGCCCAGTGCCCTGGCTCCGCCCCTGTATTTATACTCTGTATTTATAAGAGTCATAAGACCATATAACTGCTAAGTAATTATGATGCATTTAAAATAAATAGTACGAAATATTAATTATTCTTGATTAGGATTGTTTTAGGAAAAAATAGTAAAAATATATGTTACATGTACACTTGAAAAAAGCAAAAAAACAAATTAATTGATATACATTTCTTCTACTTTTAATTCCAATCCACCCTTATCCCTAATAGACTAGAGTAATTTATGTATTTTATACAATACTCTTCTATTATAAATATACCCACCGGAGCTCCTTAGAGAGCAATCTGTTCCATTCTCTCACATGGTATCACGAGCTACTGTTCAAATCTAATTTTTTTCCCGCCTATTCTCTCTCTACTTGGTATCACCGAATACGGTTCTGCCGCCATGGCCACTGCAACAGCTTCTCTCTCCGCCACCACGCAACCTTCCTCTCCGGCTAGCACAGGCATCAGCGCCCCAATATCTCTCTCTTCGATTGGCGCCCCATCCTCTTTGGGAACGCAGCCTTTCGTCATCATGCCTTGCACGGCCACCCTCTCGGCTTCCTCCTTCGCATCACCATCGAGAAGCTTGGTGCCAAATTATACTCTATTTCATAACCTGCCACCAGTCTTTTTGTGGTCAGCACCGTCTCCCGTCCAGCAAGTGTCCTTGGACCCGTCGCCCTCGTTCTCTGCCCCGACTGCTGCACAATTCTCAGGACCCACGTTTGTTGGTTCTCCAAGAATTTCTTCCTTGGTTCCTGCTACAAGGCTTGGACCGCCGACTGCTTCAAATTCTCCTATGGCAGATTTGGCATAGTCCCTATCTCACGTGGCCACCAACGTTACTAATATTGTGACCACCAAACTGCAAGCTGTTGAGGATTATATTATGTGGCGCACCCAGTTAGAGTCCTTTCTTATTTCTCAAGGTCTTCTGGGAATGGTTGATGGCTCAATTCATGTACCTTCTGTTCATTCCATAGACCTATACAATCGTCAAATCCCTAATCCCGAGTATTCGTCATGGTTACGTATTGATCAAACTATTCGTTCCTTGTTATTTGCAACTTTATGCCGTATTGTTCTTATTAATGTCCATGATTTATAACACTCTTTAAAACACATGTTGAATACTATTAAGAAAAGCCTGATCAGTCTATGGATATCTATTTTCGGGATATCAAAATTTTGGTGGATGCACTTCCTTGTATTAATTGTCCTGTCTTTATTTCCCCAAAATTTCCTGTTTGAAACACTACAGAATCATCTTATTGAGCTAGAGCAGCGAGACCGATATTTTCAACAACAAGAGGTTTCTGCCCCTCATCAGGCCTTTACAGCACAGACCCAGCCGCAACCCGGTCATCAGCGTCCTCCGGTTCCAGGTGCTCGCGGTCGAGGTGGCCGAGGCGCATGTGGTTGTGGGGGGCGCAGTAGAGGATTGTACCAGCAATAGTACGACCAGCAGGCTTATTATCCGCCACAGGGGTATGATGTCATGGCTGGCCAGTGCCACGGTGGGGCCCCTTCGGCGGCCGCATTGGGTAGTCATGCAGGGGGTGCTCCGCTTGAGGCTAATCACACTACATGCATGTGCTGTTATTAGTGAGTCTACTATGTCACATTTAAATATTCATGCCTTACTTGTTTGTGATATTAACTCTGATGCAGGCTTTCCATTAGATGGGGGTATTCTGGGGTCAACCCCTCCTCCCATTGTTTTTCGGATTTGCTTTTCTACATGTCACTCGGCAATTGCATGTCCTTCTCGCTTTTCGCAACCATCTGCACCAGCACTGATGACTACGTCTAGAGAAACTAACCCCGCTTTGTGGTATCCCGATTCCGGGACTTCTACTCACATGACAGCCTCTGAAGGTATTTTGCTTAATAAATATGCTTACTCTGGCTCTACTTCCATTAGTGTTGTCAATGGCAAACAATTACCTATTTGTAATGTTGGTGATGTGCTCCTATCCTCGTCTGGTCATTCTCTAATTTTAAAACTTGTTTATCGCGTGCCTTAGTTATAATTTAATTTAATCTCTATTCAAAAGTTATGTGCTGATAACAACTACTCCCTCCGTCCCCCTAAGTTTGGGACAAAGGGGTGTGGTGTGGTTTTTAAGAAAAAGTGGAATTGTGTGGTTGGTATTGAATTGATAAAGTGTAAATAAAGTAAGAATGAATTCTAACCACTCAAATGTTACCAAATATGGTATGAGACAAACTTAGTGGAACGGACGAAAAAGGTAAAACGGGACAAAGTTAGGGGGACGGAGGGACTATGTTGTAATTTTTGATAAAAAATCATTTTTTGTTTAGGACAAAATCTCGGGGGCAGTGCTTCTACAAGCTTCCAGTAGTGGGCCACTCTATCCTATCAGTCTGTCGTCGTCTTCTCCACTAGCTTTAGCATCCGTGTCAGCTTCTGGTCCTGTTTGGCATCGTAGACTAGGTCACTGCGGTGACAAAATTTTGCATTTTCTTAGAAACATAAATTTTTATGCAATAACTCTAGTTTTATTCATGACTGTGTTGCTTGCCGTCTAGGAAAATCACAACTTTTTCCCTTTTCCTTTGCAAACTATTCATTCTGATGTGTGACAATCTTCTATTTTATCAAACTTGAGATTTAAATACTGTGTGTCCTTTATTGATGATTATTCTCGCTTTACTTGGATTTATTCTATGTGCCGCAAGAGTGAGGTTTTTAAGCACTTTAAAATTTTTAAGCTTCTCGTAGAAAATCTTTTTAATAAAAAAATTCTAAATTTTTCAAAACGATTGAGGCGGTGAATTTGTTAATCTTGATATGCAACAATTTTTTAATACTCAGGGAAATTATTTTCAAAAATCGTGTCCTGACACACCTGAGCAGAATGGGGTAGCTGAGCGAAAGCATCGTCATTTACTTGAATTAACTCGCACCATGCTTCTTGAAGCTTTGGTCCCGAGTAACTTCTGGGTAGATGCTCTCTATACCGCTCCATACATTATTAACAGATTACCATCACCTCTATTAATTTTTTTTTGAAAATATCACCTCTATTAAATGGTTTGTCTCATTTTCAAAAACTTTTTCATAAGACATCTGATTATTCTTTTATGCGTGTTTTTGGCACTGCATGTTATCCCAATTTTTTTGACACCTCATCTAATAATCTTTCTTTGTGTTCTGTCCAATGTGTTTTTCTGGGCTATGCATCTAGCTATAAGGGCTATCGTTGTTATGATCCTAGTACTCGGCGGGTCGATATTAGTCGTCATGTTCGGTTCCATGAGAGTATTTGTCCTTTTCAACACCTTAGGGACCCTTCTACATCGGACATGTCATCCTCCGCTCCTCCACCTAGTGCCACCTCATCTCTACACACCCAGCCGAGCCCAACCCGCCAACCCCCTGCACCCATTGTCCATGTACCGGCAAAATCTACTGCACTAGATTCTCCAGCCACCTGCACCCCACCGTCTACCCCAACCAACTCGATCACACCGACCTCCCACCGTCTCATACACCACCGGTTTTTGAGGTCTCCAGTCCATACCGGTTCTCTTCACCAAACCCGACACGCAGCCCCCAAACTGTGTCACATGTGCCTTCTCCCACCCCTGCCGATAATACCTCGACCGAGCACTCATCGCTCACCTCCCCAGTCAGTTCTCTCGTGCCCGCTACAGTAGCTAACATCCATCCCATGCAGACTCGTGCTAAGGATGGAATTTTATGCCCAAAATTATTTTTCTTTACACACAGATGTTATTGGCACTTATCCATCTTATTTTTGTGAGGCAAATAAACATTTAAAATGGAGGGAGGTCAAGGCTGAGGAGTTTAATGCACTCATTACTAACTGTACTTGGGATCTTGATAAATCCACTTGGATGCAAGTGGATTTATAAAACAAAGTATCATGCTGATGGTACAGTAGAGTGACATAAAGCTTGGTTAGTGGCTCAAAGTTTTAATCAACGGGCTGGTGTAGATTTTTTCGAAACTTTTAGCCCTGTTGTTAAACATACCACTGTGCGTATTGTTCTCACTTTAGCTATTTCTTTTGGTTGGATGCTTCGTCAGCTAGATGTTAAAAATGCATTTTTACACGGCCATCTAACTGAAGAAGTTTATATGCGTCAGCCCCGTGGTTTCATTCATCCCCAGTTTCCTAATCACATGTGTCGCTTGTGTAAGGCTATTTATGGTCTTAAACAAGCACCACAAGCCTGCTTTCATAGGTTTAGCAGTTTTCTTCTTCAACATAATTTCTCTTGCAGTAAGTCTGATCACTCTTTATTTATTTAATTATCGCCATAATAATTCTATCATTTATTTATTATTATATGTAGATGATATTATTATTAATGGTAATTTGAGACTGGTGTGGATCATTTTATTTCTCTTATTTCTCGTCATTTTGCCATGAAAGATCTAGGCAATTTACATTATTTTCTAGGCTTAGAGGCCACTCGTACATCTAAAGGACTATTTCTCTCTCAAGAAAAATATGTCACTTATTTACCTTCTCGGTTGCACTTACATACTGTCAAGTATGTCCGTACCTCTCTTGCCTCTCGCACTACATTGACCCTCACCGATGGTAAGTTACTGACAGACTCCACTGAGTATCGCAGCATGGTAGGTGTATTACTATATTTAACTTTGATACGGCTATTGGAAGTCGAAGAAGCAGCCGACAGTGTCCAAGTCTTCCATTGAGGCTGAATACAGAGCTATTGCATATACTGTTCAGGACATGTTGCATATTCGGTAGGTACTCTTTGAGCTTGGATTCCCCATCACGGTACATGTCCATCTCTTGTGTGATAATAATCTGCCTCCTACCTGACTGCTAATCATGTTCAACATGCTTGGAGCAAGCATATCCATATTGACTACCACTTTGTTAGAGAGCGAGTTGCTCATGGTGATCTTTGGGTTCGATATGTACCTACTCATCCCCAGTTAGCCGATATTTTTACTGAGAGTCTCCCTTGTCAACGTTTTCATTTTTTAAAGGATAATCTGCGCGTTGTATCTGCCGCACAGTTTGAGGGGTGTAATGGACTAGGGTAATTTATGTATTTTACACAATACTATTCTATTATAAATATACCTACCAGGGCTCCTTAGAGAGCAACCTGTTCGATTCTCTCACAACCCCCACTAGCTGCTGCCTCCAACAACAACGTAACTGACAATTGTCACTGCTAGAAACCCAAAAAAACGTCATTGGGTTTTTTTGTTCATTTTTTAAGAAACCTTGTTTTATGATTTTCCTGGCGGCTAACATATATGTCCATGACGATCGTGTGTCAGTGCCATTGGTGGCACTGAAAGTGACATTGGTAGCGGCAACAATGACACTAACAATCACTACAAAAATAACCACTTTTTTTAAAATAACATCAATATAGCAACTTTAAGGAAAAAATCATTTCCTAGTTGTCATATTTGTGGTAGTATTATATGTATGCTAGTACTATATAAAGGAATTGTCCTAAATATGGGTAAAAATGTTTTGAAATTCAACGCTATTATGTTTCTATTACTTAAGAAAGAGTAAAAGAGTAATTACTCTCATGTTTGGACATACTGTCAATTATAATAGTAAACCGTCATATACTGTCAATTATGACAGTAAACGTCATATACTCATATTTAGAGTGAGATCATGCGAGATACAAGTGTAAAATTTGAGAGAAGCAATAATTTACTCTTATCTAGAAAAAACTCAGTGATTTGATCTATTTTGAAATTTTGCACTGTTTTTATTCATATTCCATAATTTTCTCCTATATATTTAAGGAATAAATTCCACTTTTGGCCCTACGAGTTTTAGGTCAATTCCACATTTAGTCCACATCTTTCACTTTGTCCACTTTTGATACATAACTATTGTGTTTTCGCCCATATATGGTCCTTCAGGCAATGTATTCGATGGTTAAAATCACCGAAAAAGGACCAAAAACGGTTAAAAACATTAGTCAAATATCAAAAGTGGACAAAGTGAAAGATGTGGACAAAATGTGGAATTGACATAAAACTCATAGGATCAAAAGTGGAATTAATTCTATATTTAAGTGTATGGGCTACAAGTATATAATTAAAGGACGACAAAA